CCACGCTTCTCTTTATGTGATGAATGACACTTTTACTGATTTATATGTGTTAAACCATCCTTGCCTCCCTGGAATAAAGCCTACTTTGTCACACTATGTTTTTTTGTTTTGTTTTGTTTTTGTACCGGGTCCTTGGTGCTCGTAAGGCAAGCAGCAGAACCACTGAGCTAAATTCCTGGCCCACACTGTATGGTCTTGTATGTCTTCTTTTCAGGGATTTCTGGTCAGGTCTTCTGTCCTTTTTAATTGAGCTGTTTCCCTACTCTGAAGTTATCTGAGTTCCTTATGTATTTTGAATGTAATGTCTATCACGTGCATAATTTGAGAATATTTTCTACCATTCTGTAGGTTTCTATTGATTCTTTACTGTACAGAAGTTTTTTAGCTTGATATAAATTCTATGTCTAAGCTTCTCCTTGTCCTTTTTATTCTGTTACTAGAGTTGGTACTAACCTGTATTCCTAGGCCTTTTATTAATTTTTTTTAGACAGGGTCTTGTGAAATCATTTGTTGTACAGGCTAGGGTAGAATTTGGGATCCTTCAGCCACCCAAGAGTACTAGGATTATAGGCATATGCCACCATTCCTGGATTTGTGTTGTTGCTTTGCTTTGGGGGTCTTATGTAAAAAAAAATCTCCCAGTTGTATGAAACACTTCCTTTGTTTTCTTTTAGCAATTTTATAGCTTCTTGTATTTAAGACTTTAGTACTTTTTTTTTTTTTTGGTACCGGGGATTGAACCCGGGTCCTTGCACTTGCAAGGCAGGCGGTGGCAGAACCCCTGAGCTAAATCCCCGGCTAGACTTTAGTACATTTTTAGTTGATTTTGTAACATTTTGAGAGATTAAGTCCTAATTTCATCCTTCTACATGTGAATATCCAATTTTTCTCTCATTGTTTATTGAAGAGGCTTGTCATTACTCCATTGTCTACCTTGTCTCCTTTGTTGAAAATCAGTTTGCTATAGATATGTGGATTTATTTCTGGAATCTCTATTCTGTTAGATTGATCTGCTTTTATTCCAGAACCATGTTGTTTTGATCACTACAGCTTGGTAATCTATTTTGAGGTCAAATATGATACTTCCAGTTTTGTCATCTTTGCTTGAAATTGCTTTGGCTATCCAGGATATTGTGGTTATATGAATTTTAATATTTTTTTCAATTGCTGTGGAGAATGGCATTGGTAATTGTGATAGAGTTTGCACTGGATCTGTAGATTACTTTTGTCAGTATGAATGTTTTAATAATATTAATTCTTATCCACAAACACAAGATATCTTTACACACATATACACAAATAAATATTTGTGTTCTCTTTCATTTCTTTGACCAATATTTTATATCTTTCATTATAGAGCTCTTTCATCTTTTTGATTAAATTTATTCCAAGGGGTTTTTATGTGAAGGAAAAGTCACAGTTAACAAGACACCTGTGTTATCTTGCAGGTCAATGCATTCTCTCATGAACATTTGATCTTAGAGAATGGTTGCACAGTCACAATCCCTCAGCTGCCGAGTTTCCTGGCTGTAGAGATGTCATGACCTCATCGAACTTTGAGTCCTTAATTATGACCATTGGTATAGGGAAGTCTTTCTCTGAACCCAGCTGAAAGATCAGTTAGGATTTACAATTAGGCCTTGGGGTGACTCATAATCTTAATCAAAAGCTGACTTCATAAGTCAAACCAATATCTAAATCCTGCTCATTGTAGTCTTAAGCAGGTCTCCTATAAAACTTGTCTGTTTTCTTCTTCATTTAGCTAATAATTTGCCTATTTTTGGTGTATCTTTTTTAAAAGCCAACTATTTTTCATTGATCTTTTTGGTGTTTTATTTGATTTCTTTCTTTTTTTTCCCAGTGCCAGTGATTGAACTCAGGATCTTGTACTTGCCAGGCAGGCATGGCATCACTGAGCTAAATCCCTGGCCCTATTTGATTTATTTCTGTATTGATCTTTATTATTTCTTCCTCTACTAATTTTGTGTTTAGTTCTTGTTTTTTTATAATTCCTTGAGATGCAGTGTTAGGTTTTTTTTTTTTTTGAGAGGGATTTATGTTATAAAATTTCCTTAGTACTACTTTTTCTTTATTCTGTAGATTTTTGTATGTTGTACTTCTGTTTTATTTCTCTTGAGACATTTTCTGATCTTTTTAGTTTCATCATTGTTCATTCTTAAACTTTCCATGTATTTATGGAGTTTTCAAATGTTATTGATCTCTATTTTTATTTGTTGTGATCAGAAAAGTTACTTGTGATGATAGATTTTTAAAAATTTTGTTGAGACTCGTTTTGTGGCCTTGATCTCACCTTTTCCACTGTAGAAATCATGTGGTCTGTCCTGGAGAATGTTCTATGTGTTGTTGAAAAGAATGTGTATTCTGTGGCTACTGGGTGGAATGCTCTGTACATATCTGTTAGATCTATTTGATCCAGAGTATAGTTTAACTCAGAAATTTCTTTGTTGGTTTTCCCTCTGGATGATCTACTCATAGCCAAAAGTAGGGTGTTGAAGTCCCCTGCTATAACTGTGTTTCACCTCATTCTCCTTTTATGTCTGTTAGACTGGGCTGTATATATTTAGGTACTCTAATTACACACACAAATATTTATTATTTGTTGTATCCTCTTGTGGTATTAACACCATCATTACATAATTGCCTTCTCTATCTCTTTTTACAGTTTCTTCACAAAAATCAATTTTGTTCAAGGAAAGTATAGCTGTATTTGCTTTCTTTTTTTTCTCCCCTAATTTCCATTGACTAGGACTATTTTTCCATTTCTTAGCTATCTGTCCTTCTAGTTGAAGTTTCTTGCGGACAGCATATACTTGGGTCTTGCTTTTTTATCCTTCAGTCTCTCTGTCTTTTAATTGAAGAATTGAGTCCATATCCATTTGAAGGTTCATATGTGTTCACAGCTGCTTGCCATTGCTCCACACTAGGTTCTCAGAGAAACACCAATCCTACTGTGAATTGCTCATGGGAAGGGTCTAGGTTATGTGCTCCCTATGAGAACCTGAAGTAAAGTGCCCAATAAAGTTAACATGCTTGAATCACCAGAAAATCACCATACCTCTCTCCCAAACCAGTCCCTGGTACAAAAGTGTTTGGGAATCACTACCATTGCAAGAAGCATAGTTAAACTTCTGACAACTAAAGACAAAAAACATCTCAATAGCAATGAGAGAAACAGTATCTTCTAGGGGAAAATCAGTTTGAGCTGACAGTAGATTTCTCATTGGAAAACATAAAGGACATATTTTTCTATATGATGAAGGAAATATATTGTCAGCACAACCCCATAACTCTTGGAAATGAAATGGAAACTAACTCTCAGATGAAAAGCTAAGAATGTATCACTAGTGTATATAGTCTGAAAGAATGGCTTAAAAGAATTGTTGGAACAGAAAGGAAAAAGCAATCTTGAACAATCTGAAATGAAAGGACAATAAAAAGAGTAAAAATGTAAGTACATGTTAAATAACTTGGCTTCCTTCTTGAGTTTTATTTGTATTTAATGGTTGAAGGAAATCTTTGTATTTTGTTTGTTTGTTTGAAGTAACCTTAAATTACACTTATTACAGTTATTATAGTTGGATTACACTTATTGTTGGGAGTTTGTACACATACATAGCATTTTAATTGTTTTTTCATCCTCTTTCTCTGTAATCCCTCCCTACTCCCTCCAACCTTTTAAAAATTAATTTTATTGGTACATTTTAGAGACACATAATGGTCACATTCATCATACAAAGGAAATCTTATAACAGTAATTGATATTTTTCTCAGTGTATATGGGAGAAATATTTAAAATTATGACATTATGAACAAGGAGCACTAAAGGGACTTAATGGATTCCTTTATACTTCTGAGCAGATAAAATGTCAATACCAGTGAACTGTGCTAACATAGAACTTAGTATATAGAATTAACTACTTAAAAAAAAAACTTTTGCAAATATATATACTCGAGCTTGTAACAAACACTTAAATAAAGATGAAGCTTTAAAAAATGTTCAAGGGGACCCAGCCATGTGAAAAAATGAAAACAGGGAACAGACAGAATACAAATAAAATGGCAGACTAAGGGCTAGCATATTCATAATTAAGTGAATCAACTAAAAAGAGATAGAAAGAGTTGGTTTAAAAAAAGACCCAATGATATTCATTTAAAAAATAAGTACATTGATCATACAAATACACCATGTGACATTAATCATAAGAAAGCAGGATTGCTAAAGTAGACTTTACAGCAAAGAAAACTATCATGATCAAGTGACTATATAGTGACAAAAGGGTCAGTCTGCAAAGACAGCAGCTCTAATTCGTAAATTCTGCACCATTCCAATGGTTACTTCTTACATAGCTGTAGGAGGGCATAGGTCTCATTTATGGAATCAGTACCCATATAAAAGATGATTTTGAGAAATACCACTACCTCACATAATGCCACATCAGACAGCCCCAAAGTGTGACAGTGTGGTCAGAAATATACAGCCTAGAAGTGGACATTCAGCAGAATCCAGCCACACTTACACCCTGATCTGGGAGATCCCAGCCTCTAGAAATGGGAAAAATAAAAAATAAGTAATTTTAATAAACACATTACATTACTTTTCATCCTGTTCTTTTCCACTCATCTTTCCTCACACCCATGCATGCTCATCCAAGTCAGCACTCAGATCTTCAAGACTCTATCAGTAGAGCTCTTTCTTCTCTGATATTTCACTCCACAAAAGTAGCTCCCATGACCTCCTTACACTTTTAGTGCTATCACCTCAACTCGCTGAATCTGCCAGTCTGTTTTGATATTTCTTTAGAGGAATGCATTGTGTGATACTGGTTGGAAATGATTTCACTAGTAACCTGTGGTAATTCTAGAGCTTGCTTTCACTTGTTCCTCTATTCTCAGCAATGCTTACCTATTGCCTGAAGTCTGTAACACTTCATATAGTTAAATAGGTAAATCAGTTCCTTTTAATCCATATGGACAGATACAGAAGACTTCATGAAATCTCTCATGTTCGAAATTCAAGACATTGATGCTTTTAGAATACAATGTCATTTACCCTTGCAGTCAGACTGAAAGAGATGTTTATAAGCATAAAAATGGGTTCTTGTTATCACCTAAAGAAGATCCAGTGAATGCCTTCAGTGTACCCCTTCCTAAGCTGTATCTTCCTTCACATTTGGGAACATTGGAACCTCTGCTGTTGACTCAATTTCTAAATTGTTTCCTCTTCACAGGGTACTGCTTTACAAAACCAGAACTCATCTTCATATTGGAACAAGGAGACGATCCATGGTCATTAGATAAAGGGAAAGAATCCCTGAGCAGGAATTCCCCAGGTGAGTCACTGAACCCGGGCAGAAGATTTGCTGATTCACTAGGGGGACTTGTAGAGTTCAGCTTATGATAATAGTCATGGCTGAAATGTAATAGAATGGATTCAAACAGAATGAAAGAGAAAAAGGCCTGGGACAAAATTCAGAGTATCCAAGCACGAACTTCCAAGTTCAGAGTAACCAAGCATGCTAGGTTCCCCCAGCAATAAATTGTGACCGACTTATGTGGAAGCTTGTCTAATTGGAAAATTCAGTAGGACTAGCAGTCCAGGATTTTTATTGTGGGCTGTTTACAGAAGCACCTTCTACCTAGCATATGTCAAAAATCCAGATTTTCAGGTAGGAAGCAGGTGCTGAACATAAATCACCTGTCTGCACAGTGAACCCAGGTAGGCAGTTCTTAGCAGATCTAGAATACCTGGAAGTTCTCTTGAAATCTCAGTTGCAAATACCATCCGGAGGCTACCAGCGTACCTTTGTAAGAGTGGCAGTGTCTGGCCTGCCACATCTATTATTGTCCACATGCAAATGCAGAAAACTCTTCCAAATTTGTCCTAACACACTAAAAAATTCACCCATGCATAGGAAAAAACACAGCTTTCCAGCAGTTCAGTAACATATACACATATGAAAATGTAATAAATTTATCCAGGCAGTCCATGCCTTATACTTTAATAATAAAACTTACAACCATTTGACCCAGCCATCCCTTGGCTGGGTATCTTTCCAAAAGAATTAAAGGCATCATATTATAATAATATATGTGCACCCATATTTATAGCGGCATAGTTTGTAATAGCTAAAACTTGGAAACAGCCCATTTGCCCATCAGTTGGAGACTGGATAAAGAAGGTGTTGCTTTTCTATAAAATGGAATATTACTCAGCCATAAAGAATGAGAAATTAGATTCATTCATAGGAAAAATGGATACATATTGAGGATATACTCCTAAGTGAAATAAATAAGTCACACATGTGTAAATACTGAATAGTTTCTCTGGTGTGAAAAACTATAATAGTAAATAAGATCCTAATGAAATAACTGACAATGTGAAATAGGAAGAAAAGGGCTAAAGGTGTAGGGAAAGTGGGAAGGGTAGGGGAAAGGTAATAAGGAAAAAGAAAAAAAATAGAAAATGAAAAAAATGGAAATAAAATGTTTGTAAATGGGGAGGGGAGGCGAAGGTGAAGGAAGGACAGGGACAAGGGGAAAAAATGAGAACCAAGACCTGTCATGTAAAGGTACAAGATCCTAATGAGGAATGTAACTGTACTGTATACCTAAACTGTACCAATAAACTCAATGAGAAAATTAAATTAAATAAATAAAAAAACTTACAATCCTCTCTACTGCAAATTCCTTTTAGTAAGCTGATTCACCTAATGCTTTCAATGACTTTTCCCGGGCTTGTGCACACACAGTCAACCTACGCTTGCAATTCAATCACGATTTGATAAAATGAGGCAGAAGAAGAGCACACTATTCAGTTTCGGAGACCTGCTGATATCACTGACCAATGAGTGTATTTACAATACGAATGCTGGCAGAAATAAGAAGATAGAAGATGTCGGAATCTCTCTAATTTCTCAGTGATCTAGGCTATTTCTTTGGGGCTTTATAAATACATATGTTTTCCTTAAGTTTCTGTGTTATTCTGAGTGCATGCATGAATAATCAGAATATCTGCCACTTATGACAAGTTACAACACACACACAGTGAATAATGCTCACAACTTCACAATCCAGTAGTGTCAGCACTGTTATTCTGTTTTTATAGAGAAGTAAGGTACCTGTAAAAGGTCACATAACTCACGGAAGGGATACGATGGCTGGAACTTGGACCTGATGCCTTATTCTGCATCCTGTCTGCTCAGTTGGGCCAAGCTGCCCCTGGAGGACCTTCCCAGCCACCGAGGAGAGCTGAATGCGGAGAAAACACAATACAGAGGGTGACCTTTCAGATACCTCTTTCAGGGATGAAGCTGCCTCTCAGTGTCCGTTATGGTTTGACCCGAGACTGTCCCTTAATGGCCTCGTGTGCACACAGGTAGGGTTTCTGGAAGGTGACTAAATCACGGCAGCTGACTTCCTGTCAGGAGGTGGGGCCTTGTCAGTGGAGGCAGGTCACTGAGCATGTGACCCGGAAGGGTGTGTCTCCTTGTCCTGCTCCTCCCCGTCTTTCTGCTTTCTGAGCACCACAATATAAGTATCCTTTCCTCCTCTGTGCCCCTCTGCTATGCTGTCCTGTCTTGGAGCCAGCAGCCTCTAGACAATAGTGAGCCCAAAGCAACTGCTGCTCATTTAACTTGTGGGTGTGAAGTACTGAGCCTCAGCAACTAGACTAATTCTGTGTCCGTCAGTGCACCATCCAAAAGAGCATCCAAGAACTTGAATGTATTTTAAACATACTGGATGACACTCACAACAAGTATAAGTGGGGACCCAGAAGGGAGCATCACTCCGTTATAATGGCACGGACAGCCCAGGATTGTTTCCCTGCTGGAAGGACACCCCATTGCCCACTACCTGTTCTTCAGCTGTACCCAGGCCTGTCTATTTGCACGGCTGACTGGATTCTGGCATGTTCTCGAAGAACAGCCTTCTTATAATCTGGAGGCGGCATGGATATATTTTGTTGTTCAAAAGATTGATGAATAAAGTCACACCCTACAGGAAGGATCTAGACCAGTGAGTCTCAAGCTGATGGCCCTCTAGTGTTCCCTGCTTACTTCAGCCACAGGAGGACAGCTGGAACCTCTTGCACTTTGCACAGTGATATATTAGTAAGCTTGCTGTCACTGTGACAAAATACTGGAAGTTACAGCTTAAAAGAAAGATGTTTATACTGGCTCACAGTTTCAGAGATTGTAGTTGTCTTAGTTACTTTTCTTGTTGTTGAGACCTGACACCCACAGTTACTGGAGGAAAGGTTTACTCAGTTCACAGTTTGTAAAGATTTCAGTCCACAGTCAGCTGGCTCCAAGGCAGGGTGTCATGGCAGAGGGACATCACAGGGGAGAAACTGTCCATGGCAAGCAGCAGGGTGAGAGCAGCAAGCAGCAAGTCCAAGCTTGCCAGGTGCCAAAGCAATCAGTGGACTGATGTAGTAATCACCCATCCTTAATCCTAGTATCACACACGCTAGATTAAGCCACCTCTGAAAAAATCCTCACCTATGACTGCATGAGACTTTGTGGGGACATCTAGACACAATCCACTACAGCAGTCAATGGTCATTTGGCGCTATTGCTCTTTGCTTGTGGTAGGGAAGAATGTCATGAAGGGAGAGCTCATGACAGAGGAAAAGTGCTTGCCTGGTTTTGGCCAGAAAGAGAAAGGAGGGACCAGGGGTCCCAATATCTCCTACAAAGGAATTAGCTAGAAACAAAGCCTTTCGGGAACTCATGACATCCAAACCATAGAGTTGCACTTCTGACCTCCAATCTTACTTTCCTTATTGCTGAGACAAAATACCTGATGCACATAGGTTAAAGAAGGAGAGGTTTATTTTGGCTCACAGATTGTGTAGGTCCAGTCCATGCTTAGCTGGCTCCAAGGCAGAATGGCAGGGAGAGGGAATGGCAGGGGAGAAACAGTCCATGGCAGGGCAGGAAGGAGGCAGCAAAAGCAAAAAGCACCATCCTTCTTTCATTTATATTCCATCCAGGGCACAAGCTTGTTGATTGGTGTCATCCACACCCAGAGTGGGGCTTCCAGCATCCACACTCAGAACCGTGCTAACCCAATTCAGTTATCACACACCCTTAATCCATATTCACAAACCCTTGATCAAGCCACATCCAAGAAACCCTACCTATGAGCACATGAGGCTTTGGGGAGACATCTAGATACAAGCCATACCAACCCCAAATGTTTATGCACATCTCGCAGTGCCAAACGCACTCAATCCATTTCCTAGAGTCCCCAACATCCCAGTAGCTCCAGCACTGCTTAAAAGTTCAAGTCCAAAGTTTCCTGACAGAAGGCAAACTCCAAAGAATTGTTTCTCCTTTTTGTCTTTCATTTCACAAGTGTAACTGTGTTTTTCCCTGCACCTTGCTCTACATCCTAATGACTGGAGAGTTAGCAAAATAGCACTAACCCTTTCCTGCCTTTCCTACTATGTGAACAGTTCTAATTAACTTGTACTTGCAATCAGGCATGGTGGTATATGCCTATGATCCCAGTGCTTTAGGAGGCTGAGATAGGAGGGATACAAATTCAAGCCCAGCCTGGGCAATTTAGTGAAACTCTGTCTCAAAATAAAAAATTTTTCAAATGTCTGGGATGTATTTCAGTGCAAATGTCCTGGGTTCAACAATTCTCAGTACCACAAAAGAAAAAAACAGGAAAACTAGTAAATGTCTATAAGAGAAACTGACTGATGGAAACCAGCCACACACATGAAACGGCAAAATTCCAACTAACAACATTTTCCTAGATTCACAGATCATGGGTGACTCGATGACCCTCAGAAACAGGTAAGATGCCCATAGTCCACACTGCAGAATGGGCAGTGTCTGAGGACTAATGAACTATACAGAAGCCCAACTACAGATTGAGACACCATTCTGACAGAAGATGCCATGTCAGCTCCATCTCCTTGGCACCAGGGAAGATAAACTCAGGTGCTAGTCATTCCTCTTCTGACATGCAGCCTGCTGCTAAGTTAAATCCTTTTTCTACCACAACTGTCTTTCAAGTTATTGGCTCTCTTGGATTTCAGAAATATCAAATCTGTCAAGTCCCATTAGCTATGAGTACCTGTAAAAAGAAAAAGGGAAGTTACAGACTTGCATGACACAATGCCATTGTGTAAATGTCCCCATTCTTAAAGGGAGGAACAGCAAAAGAGCAAAGCCAAATTAGACAAAAGCAAGACAGAAATGTAACAGGGCCAACATTTCAATCTCGTAGCTCCGGGCTGCTCACTAGGGGGTAGGGTGGCACAATATGGATCCCTGTGGGCTCATGTAGCCAAGCCCCAGCATTGTTGCCTGCTGCAGCCCGTAGGCCTCGTCCTTGGGTTACCTCTCCCCAATGCCTCTTCAGGTGTTCAACATTCCTGTCATCTCCCCCTTCTTGGGGTTTCTCCTACAGCTGCGAGTAAACATGCAGAGCTTCATGCTTCTACCTTTTGCAGCTGTTTGTAGGGACTCTGACAGCAGCGCCACACACTGCCAAACATCCCAGGCTTTCCTCTGAAATCTCACTGGAATCTCACCTCACCTGACAAAGCTTGAATGTTAAGCGTCTGCAAAACAGCGTCCTGTGGATGACACCTAGATCTGACAACAATGACAGGAGGCTCTGGGTCCTCTTGGATCTCGACTGCAGCAGCCTGAGTGTCTGACTAAACAAGAGAAACAAATCCCAAGGTAAAAATTCTCTGTGAAGCAGGACACCCCAAGGGTCCCTTTTCAAAAAATACCTTTGCAACTGTGATGGGTGGGATCTTGCTAATTCCTGAGATATCCATCATCCCACTGCAAAGCATTTGGCTTCTTTCTATGGTGCTAACCTTTTAACCAATGACATCCTCCTTGTTAGATAGAATAAAGTGAGCACAGAGCTTTCTGTTTTCCCTCTGACAGCCAGAGGGAGCTTCATCTCATTGACCATCAACTTGCCCACCCAAGTCCCACCTCTCTGCTCTGAGGATGGCCCAGGGCAACTAACTCCACTGTCTGTCACCATTTCCGTTGTTGTTTCTGTGCCTCCTGTTTCCACAGAGACAGGAGCCCTGGCTGGGATGACAGCCAACACACTCCAAGCTGCTACAGGGACTACTGTCTCCTTTCTGAGAAGCAAAAGAAGACTATGCCTGACAGGACAAACATCAGGAGGACAAGGGCCCATTCTTGATATCCCTGAAATGTCAAACCCCAATGAGCCAAAGTTAATACCGTCGCTCACTTCACCACACCCTCATCCCTTGAAAGTGGCAGCAGTTTTGATTTGATCCTTGCTGAAATGCTGGAGAGATCAATAAGGTGCTGGTTTTCCCAGGATGACAGCACTGTTGCCCTGACAGTTGAGGCTGTCCTAGATGACTCCAGAGCAGAGCTGGGGCAATATTTGCCTTGGTTGCAACAGGCTTTAAGCACAAACCTATGCCAGAGGGCTACAACCTACAGCTACACTGGATAACTGCATCCTGTAACCTCCCAATGACCCTGCCCACTTCTGTCACAACTTGGAAGCCCCCAGACAGATCCAGGAACTTCCGATAACTAGAGAGAGTAGCCCATTCCTCCGCAATATAAGTAGTGCTTCCTTACACTCATCAGGAGGCCCGGAGGGCTCCCTCCAGCGCACCCCCTCTACAACGTGCTGCAGCAGAGGCCCCAACAAAAACCTCCCTTGGGTTCTTCTATCATCTATTCACTGTTCTTACCGCAGACAGAGTGGGCTGAGCAGACTGCATTAAAAAGAGTGAGTGACACCACGGGCAACGGCCAAGAGCAGCAGACACTAGTGGAGCCAGGCAGAGACCCCTGGAGAGTGGTGGAGACCAGCTGATGGGCATGAACTGCAGCGACTTCTGAGGACATGTAGAGAGCCCTGGAGAGGCTGTGGAAGTGGCTGCAGGACCTTCAAAGAGCTGCCCAGGTGTGTACAAGCCTTGGTTGTTGAGGGGCCGCCAAGAGCTATAACACTAGAGCTAAGAGGGAGGCACTGCGGTTCAACGCTCAGAGTTGTAACACTGAGAGGTGAAAGCCACTGGCACTTAAATCCCAGGCTGCTAACATCAAGAGAGCTGCTCTTCGCCAATTCGTGACTTCCATTTAAACTGAGCCAAGGAACCTTTAGCTGTACGGTGCTAAATTTGCCATTGTTTCTTGTTACCCTTTTTGGGCTTGGTACTTGTGTTGGCCTTGGTTTAATTTAAAAGGCTTAATTTTAAGGATACTGTGAACCATGTATCAGTTTTCCTTGACTTCTGGGAAGCTGCAGATAACATCTATAGCAGGCTCATTAATAAGTATCTGGGATTTGGGGACTCAGTTCTATAACCTCATTTTGGCCACATTTTAAAGTTCTATTGTTCCTTTACCTTCTTTTATCTTTTTATCTACTTAAAAATAATCCTTTATTAAAGAAGTTTATGTATTTAGAAAACAAAGACAAGCAGAAATTGAAAAAAGAAGAATTTTTATATTAAATTTACTCAGGTATCAATGACTAATACTTGAACATATGACCTTAGTTTTACTAAAATGAAACATTACGTTGCATCTCGCAACCTTTTTTCCAGGTAAACATCTCTACTTTTCTATTACAGTCACTCTTTATAATTGTCCAGGTGATCCCAAAGCCTCTTTATAACTGCTTAGTCCAGAATAGCACCCAATCTAGGATCAGGTGTTACATCTGATTACCATGGTCGTTGTGCCTTTTCTTTTTCAGGACTGTGGATCGATCCTAGGGCCTTGCACATAAGCAGAAAGTGCTCCAACACTACGCTGTATCTCCAGCTGTGCTTCTTTTAGTTTAGAAGGAAGTCATTTTTGAAGATGTAATACTTGTGGGAAGGCAGCACTACTGGCCTCTATTTTCATTCCCAATAGAGTGCTTATTCACATGTGAGACCTAGGGAGCACAGTGTTTATTCTCCACACTCCTATCACGCCTATAGACCACTCAACTCATATTCCTAAGGAGGAGCCAGATATCAGGATTTATAAGGTTTGGGGGGCTAAAGAATGAACTACCCTAGTTAGGAGCAGTGGGATGCCTCAGAATGACACAAGAGTCCAGAGCCTCTAATGCCAGACTCAATTCACAGAAAGTCTAAATTGTACTTCCTGTTATGTGAATGTTCTCACTACACAATCATCTTGTCAAACATACTAAACACACACACACACACACACACACACACACACACTCTCTCACTCACAAAGGTGTGAAAATGAAACAAATAATAAATAAATAAATAATAATAATAAGGAATCCTCCGGTGAGAGGGAAGAAATTCTTAACTCTTAGGTCATGTGGTGTAACTAGCACAGCATGATTAAATTCACCTACAAACTTGATGCAAATGGAAAAAAATGAAAAACAAACAAGGAAAAGCAAAAAACAGAAAGAAATGACCATCATCAGCAAAAATGCCACCTGCATCTGAAACATACAGAGCCTGGTTACCACCCATACTTCTACAGAATTTTTAAAAATCCGAGTCACCCATAACTTGAGGGTCCACTGTATCTTCTGAAACACGACCATAGTCCACATCTCCAGAATAGAATCCCCTACCTTCATTCTTGAAACATTCCCACAGACTCATACAAATGCCTCAGCTTTCTCCAAACAAATACACTTTCAATTCTTCTAACAACCCCTTGTTCCCTACGAATAAGTCACATAACTCATCCTTCCACACATGGATATGAGCAAACCAGGCATGTGCCCAAGACTCGGAGAACTATCTCCAGTGTACCATTTAAAAACACAAAGAAAACCTCTTACTTATCCCTCATTACTTCTGGCTGGTAGGAAACGGTTCATGTACCCTAAAATACTAAGGAATGGCTGTGTCACATACCTCCAGAACCTACAAATACCACTCCCATACTCTTCTGTGTTATGATAAACTAGTAACATCCCAATGTGAAATACAGACAGCCCCAGAAATACTCATCCAAACTTCCATACCTCTCAATACATATACTCATTTCCCCCAAATTCTCTGACTTCACACAACTATATGGTCATTGCTACAAAACACAAGCACACACACATATGTGCACATATCAGAGAGATGCACTATGTACAAATTCAATACACATGGCCCTCTCCCAAGCATCAAATAGCTACACAACTGAGTAGCTCACGTCAGATTTACAATATCTCCAATACACACATCATTTCATGCTACCTGCATAAACAAGATCACACACTCCAAAATAAAAATAACTCTTCTGTCTTCCAAAATGCAGAATCATACTAGATTTACACTGCAATTGCACAATTCACTTTACTAGTCCAAAAAATAATCATAGACCTGTCATCACACACTGAAGGACACACACACGGACCTTGAAGGTCAGAAAAAGAAGGATATTATAATACAGCCTGTCCTGTACGCACAAATAATCCTCTTACATTTCATTTCCCACTGATGTAAAACAGAGGCATGCCGAACCTTCAGAAAAGAACACTTATTTGAAACACGCACACACACAACATTACCACTTGCCGTAACAATGCTCTTGGGGACAGCAAGTCCCTAACTATGGATTCATATGCACACGTTCCCAAAGACCACAAAGACACCGACACCAAACCACCCATGCCCTGGAATTTCCTCAGCCCATCATGACTATCCGCAATTCTCATGACTCCCACAATTAAAAAAAAAAAACAAAACAAACTTCCTCCCATCCTCAAGTACACAAAGGTCTCCCCACCAGACCACCCCCCATCCTACTGCCCCACACACCTGCTCACACACAGACACACACACAAAAGCCTCTAATAAATTTTCTGAATATAATGCACGCATGGAACATAATTTAATAATAAACAGCCAATCTCTTTACTGCAACTGGTTCTCACACAATGCTGCTGTTGACTTCTGCCAGCCTCCTGCACCCCCAGGAACCTATGCCTGCAGCTCAGTCACCACGTGACAACTTCACACTGGACAAAAGTGCGTCATTCAGCTTGGGCAGTCACTACCAAGTGCAGGTGCCACATGAATGGTGGCTGATACTTCCCCTCCCCTAAGTTTCATACGTGCAAACAAGGATATGTCGCAGAGGGCCACTCACTTTTCAGGGACATGAGTTACTTCTCTGTGCCTCTGGATGAAGCTTTTCAGATACATGAGAAGTGTTCGTCGGGCTTCTGCATCACGGACACAGAAGGGACACACTGACAAGCTCCAGCCACAATAAAGCACTTGCCTAATTAAATTCCTCAATTCTATCACACCATAAACTATGCATATATACGCTTACCTTTTGAACACCTTGATGTAATTGCTGCTGAAGCACACAAACAATGCTGTCTATACCTATACATCCCAAATACCTGAATGGATCTTCAAATACACTAACTACTCAAGTCTCCCAAGACCACGTTTGCATGAATTTATCCCACACTCTCACGTGGAAGCACAAACCACACACCCACAGCTCTGCAATAGACACCCAGCCACCACACTCCCTCGGTATATCACAGAGATCCCTAGCACATATCTCAGGCACCCAATGCATGGATATACAGAACCACAGAACAGTCACACATGCCAATGCATACACAGCCACATGTGCCCCAGTACACACACACCAAGCTCCATCTCTTCCTTTTTGCTGGTGATGGTGGTCCTTGGAACTGAATCCAGGGACTCATACTTAACTACAGTCCAAGTTCCTCCACCTTTTTTCAGTTGTTGTTGAGACATGGTCTCTCAACAAGAAACGAAATTGCCCAAGCCGGACCAAACTGGTATCCTCTGGCCCCAGACTCATACAGTGCTGGGATAACTGGTGTGCACCTCCACACTGAGCTCAAAGTCCATGGTGAAAAACTAAAACAGAAACACTTAACTAAAACAGTTCAAAACCCCAAAATGAATTCCCAGGCACCACAACTGCAAACCTGGCTACCTCACTCTTCTCAACATCCTTTGCACCAGGCTGTGGATTTAGCTCAGTGTCACCACGCCTGCCTCGCAAACACAAGGTTCCCTGGCACACGCACACACACACACACACATACACACACACACACACATCCTTTGCACCACACAATACCCAAATTGCCAGCTTTTAACGCCATGAGCATACATAAAACTCCTCTACTGTGAATGCACAGATATAACTAAAAAAAAACAAAAAAGGCATAACGTTACCTTTTCAAATGCATCCACAGAAGAATCACAGTATCTCACAGTGCACTACAAAGACACAGTACCATCTGCCCAAATACACACACACACACTCACACACACTTACATATGTATACATACCTACCCAGGAAAATAACCTTCAGAATCACACAGTACTCCAGATTAACCCTCAATCCACTATTTTGTAATTTACTATAAACTGACCCATACTTTCCTAAGAGCTCCCTTTCAAAAAACTATTTTTTGTGTACATAAAATATTGGCAATCGCAATGCTTTAGGAACAGCAAACCAGGAGGCATCACGCGAAAGTATCCTCAACTTTATACTTGCTTTGAATAGTCTGTTACAGTGAAATTCATGCAGAGCTGCAATGCTTCCCCGCATGAGATCTGCACCGCTGGCCAGGTGGCTTTCTGAATGGGGTCTCGATCCTTCTGGATTGACCTGAGCAGCACAACTGCTGCACTAAGGTAAAATGTCAGTATTCTCCCACTTGACACTTTCCACAGAATGTCAGGGGTCTCCTTAACATGCCACCCAAGTGTCTCTTTCACACGCTCGGCACAAACCCGTAGAATGACAGCATTCTGTAAAGTAGCAAACTGTGTCACTGCTACAGCATCAAGATAACCCAATGCTCAGTGAGCCACTGAATGGAATATAAAAGTTAAACATGCCTTAGCTAAAATGCACTTTTGCCTAAAGCAGTTTGATTTACTTCCAGGACCTGGGATCCTAGGTCAGGACAAAGTAGAAGGGCAAAAAGGAGGTGATGGGACAGACCCTGTCAAAGGGGAAGCCTGGAACAAAGGCAAGACCCAAACTGAGTAAAGTTACTGGGCGATCAGCTGAAACCCTTCCCCGCGGCATAGAAATTCGTGCTGCCATTAGAAACCAGAAAAAGGTAGATGATGGGATTTCATAAAATATTTAGACTGTCAGGGCCCATCTCCCTAGTGGGACAGAAAGAACCAGAGGATGGGTGTAGGGAACAGGTGTGTAAAGTCACTGGGGCACAAAAGGGTGGCAGATGAGTAGGGCATTGGCCTTGGGCAGGAGAAATGATTACGACCAAACTTCACCCTCTCCCTTTCTACTCCCAAACTTCCAGAAACAAGAAGAAAGGGTGCAGTAACCTTGGAAGAACTCAAAGAAGATTCCTCACCCAGGAAGACCTTAAGGCATTTTATGGGAACAGCTCGAACATTTAACCAAACTTGGTTCCAGAAAAGTATACTCCATGTAGTGAAGCTCATTTTTATACATATTCTTACAAAACATGAAAAAAATCCACCATAAATTTGTTTGAGAACATTTGGTTCTTCTATGTTAGACTTCATACCTATAATTAATGATCACTAATAAAATGAAAGAATCCCATGCATCTTATCAGATCACAATGGAACAAAACTAAAAATCAACAGCAAGAGAAATTACAGAAGCTATACAACAAGCACATGGAGAATGGACACTACACTTTTGAACAACCAGTGGGTCAATGCAGCAATTAGGGGGGAAGGGAAATGATTCTCAGAATTAAGTGAAAATATACACACAGCATACAGTGGATCCTGGAGTTACAACTCACCTGATTTATGAACAACTTAGGTTATGTTTGGAAATTTTAGTTTTAACTTATGACCAAAGTCTTAAGACAGAAATTCCAGTTGCTTGTGCTTCCAGTTGATCTCAGATACACATTTGACCCTTAAACATCTCTGGCAGGAGCATTACAGCATCCTTTCCTGTGTGGGGTTGAGAAATCCTGGGCCAGTACTTCTCTAAGGACACTAAGATCTGCCTGGACACTGCACGGAGACTTGGATGGCTGTGTAGAGGAGCCTGAGCCTTCAAGAGACCGACTTGAATTACAACCAGCCATTGTGCATGGACTGAGTTTGTAAGTCAAGGGTCCACTGTACCAGAATTTGTGAGACAGGGTGAATGTAGTTCTAAGAGGGAAGCTACACCTGAGTGCCTGCATTAGAAAACCAGTGATTTCAAGTAAACAAAGTAAGCACGCATTTCAAATCCTTAGAAAAACAATAAACCAAACATAAAACCGGAAGGTAATAAATAATACAGATCAGCGTGGAAGTTAATGAGATCATCTAAAAGAACATTAGAAAGGATAGTGCATCAAAGGGTAGGGTGTTTGAATATAAAAACAAGATTGATGAACCTTGAGCTAATTATGCAGAAGAGGGGAGGGCTGGGGATTAAGCTCAGTGGTGCCACACCTGCCTCATTAGTGCAAGATCCTGAGTTTGATCACTAGTACAAAAAGAAAGAAAGAAAGAGAGGGGGCAGAAGGGAGAGAAAGGAAGACAGAAAGAGAGAAAGGAAGTAAGGCTGGGAAGACTCAAATTAATACAATTAGAGCTGAATGTTGGACAGAGGACCAATATCTACAATATATAAAGAACTAAAAATATAGACACCCCAAATAAAAGATCCAATAAAAAATGAATAGACACTTCTCAGAAGTACAAATGGTCAATAAATACATAAAAAAATGTTCACCACCACAGGCCATTAGAGAAATGCAAATTAAAACAACACTGAGATTTCTCCAGAAATCAAATAATGTGCTGCAGCACATGCACAACTCCTCTCTGTTCGTATGGCACACATGTGTCACCCTTCTCTACTCCTTTACCACATCTACTCCCCCTGTCTTTTCACACAGCACATGAAAGTCATTGCTGCCACCCTGTTCCATCCCTGAAATGCATACGCAGCACATGAGCCTGTGGCACACAAGTACGCCCCTCCCTACACTACAGGATGTACGTATCATGTCTTTCCATCTTGTAGCACAAGTGCCTCTCCATCTCTGAAGTACATACACGTCCCATGGCTCTCCATTTCATTATCCCCCATCCAGCCATGTTCCACCTGGCAGACCCTCCTTCCTCCTTCACCTGGTCTTCCTGCGTTGGGTTTCAGCTGAGAGGTTCCCTCATCAAGTGCTTCCTTTTAAACCCTTGCCTCCCCACCAAACTAGGAATTCTCATCTACTTCCTGTGATATGGATTGATTCTCTCTGCGGAGCACTTGGAAAGACAAGCTAGAGAGACTCATCCCCTGCAAGAGAGGACCAAGGCTAAGGACCATTCCATCACTACAGCGCATGGGCCATGCCCGTTTAAGGAAACGGTATATTCAGGACAGGAAATGAAGAGAGAACATTTCTCTGAAAATTGGCATTAGTGCTGGGATTGAGTTGGCCATGTGAAAGACTGCTGGGGTCAGGGTAGAAAGACTGGGAAGACTTCACACACCTGCCACTCGGTTCTGAGGTCCAGTAGAGCCAGGCACGGTTGCTGTATCAGTGTCAAAGAGAGATGCTGTGTAAAGACTCTGCTGAGCAGGAACAGAACACTTACAGGGCAGACCTCTGACATTGTGGAGGAAATCTATGCCCTCTTGTGCAGATAATTACTCTCTTTTGGACAAACAGCTTCTGCTTTGTTACTGGGCCTCTACAGAGACTGAATGCTTAACTATGAAACATAGGGTGATCATGTGATCTCTGCTTTCTATATTGAAAATGGTGTTATGTAACCTACTTAATCATGATACTTAGTGTACACAAGAGTACTCTGTCATCAAGTGGAAATGGTATGTTAGAAACTAAACTCCAGTAGTTTTGGAAGGTACAGGTAAGTGCTTGAGCAGGTGGGTGAGATTCCTTCACCTGCTAGAGTAGAGCTAGCACCTCCTTATAAGCCATTAACTGAGGAAAACTGAGGAAAAAGAATTTGAGCCTGGTTTACAATTTATAGCCCCACTCAGAGGGGACAACAAAGGGGCATTACACATAAAAGTCTTTCTTGTAGGCAATATTTTGAAAAGGAAATGTGACTGTGAGAGAGACAGAGAGACAGAGGCAGAGACAGTGAGAGAAACTGAGATTTACCCAAAAGAACAAGTGGTGTGGCCAGATCACCAGAGAGCTGGAAGGAACGGGACTGGAAGATTAGTCACGACTATGTTGAAAGAAGAGCCACGTAGTGGAGCTCTGAATTGGCACAGAACGTAAAGATGTTTGTGGGCCACAGAGATGACCATCAAAGAGGACTCACAGCAGAGGAAGCTCTCACCGAGCTGGACAAAAAAATGACTTGATCTGTAGGTGACAGGCACCTCTTTCCCAAGTCATCTTAGTGCTTGCTCCAGGCACAGCTGTCATGGTGGCAGCTACTGATGGTCTCAGTAACTTGGGCTATCGCATTACTAAGGGTGATGTGGCTAATGCTATTGCTGAATACATCATCTTCCATTAGGGGAAGACAAAACAATGTGTTGAGGGCTCATGAGACTTTCAGGGGCAGGTCGATGACATAAGACCTTCTCTAATATAGACACACAGAGATTTGTCCTCAGCAGAATAGACACACAGTCTGGTCACATATGTACCATAGCACCCATAGTGCCACGTATAACCCCCCAAATACATTATTTTCCTTATTGTGCTGACCAACAAACTAATTTCACAGCAGTGAGCTCGTGCCCACATAATTAACTCGTCTTGCCACATACCCCATTACTCAGAAGTAGTTCTTCTGTATGAAGGTAGAATGGTTTATTCAGTACTCACTTAGGGTGCCAGTTTGTAACTCAAACTGGGGCTGCACTGTTGGTGTCTCCTGTTCTGAAGATTCCAGCTTCTTGGACTAGGCAGCTACTGGTCCTCTCCAGCCTTCAGAAACCATTGGGGAACTATTCAGCCTGTAAGCATGTAAGCCTCCTCTTAGAATCTATTGATTTTGTTTCTCTGGAGGTCCCTAATATACTATTATATGGCACTGTTGTTGCGACAGAGCAGAGCTGCCCAGTGCTACAGCCAAATGTTTCAGCTCAGTGTTGCAGCCAAGTGCCACAGCTCCGAGGCACAGCTGAGCTTGCAGCTCAGTGTGGTGGCTCTGGAACACACCTCTTGGAATTTGAAGACTCAAGAATCCAAGGTCAGTTGAGGTGGACAACAAATCCCTTCTTACACTGGTGAGCCTCATCAGGCTCAGAGAAGTCTGAGTACTCTCACACAAATGAGAGCCTCCTTATATAGGGATTTACAGGGTAGGCGAGCATGCTCACTGAAGGAGGGGGCAGAGTTAGAGAATACTCCCACAGCAGAGGGGAAGAGTTACAGAGCATTCCTGAGAGGATGCAGAGCTTAACCACCTTCTGGAAGGGGCATAGCTTAACAGAATATTCCTGAAAGGCCACACAATTCAGTCACAAACCACTTTGATACACTGGACAGAGCCCTGCCTAGAGCACAAAATGAGCAGTTATAGAATATTTCTGAGAGGGCGGAGCTTAAAAGAACCTTTTTGTGAGAAGCACAGTTTAACACAACATTCCTCAAAGGTCACACAGTTCAAACAATCACAAACCATTTTTGTACACTGAGCAGAAACCGTACAGTTACAGAACATTCATGAGGTGGGGCAGAGCTCAACAGAACATTCCTGAAAGGTTACACAGTTCGAACAGTCATGAACCACTTTGATACACCACTTTGATGGCAGGAAAATGTAAACACAAACTTACATTTCCAAAGCAAACACTCTGTGAAGAAAAAAAAAGAAAATGGAGGCAAGGTAACGGCCTGTCTTGCCATACAGCACTTGTCTATCGCTCTCTCTCCCATAGCAACATACATGAATCTGGTTATCAAGAGGTGGAAAGGAAAGTAGCACTTTTCACTATTACACCAAATAAAATAACCAAAAGACTGCTTTCAATCAGATGTTTGTTTGTTTCTGTGGTGCAGAGGACTGTCATATTGATTATGCTCACAGCAGGCTGTAAAGAGTTACCCCACAATGGGCTTGTTTATAGAAGTGAGTGCAGTCCAAAGCCTACATGCTGAGGTCAGAGTAACTCATACCTGAATTCCGTTCCCACAACTAAAACATTCTCATTAAAAGGACAGTGTTCTAATTATAATTGTATATTTGGTCTAATCTGGTCATAATTCGAGAATGCTTCGTCTTGTCCTCTATGAGTCTTGCTTACATTAGTGTCCATAGAAACCACGATTGATCTTCCTCTCACCTATTCCCGCCCTTACACATAGCTTACCTTTACCCCAATTGATTACTAGTAAAAATCAGTGGCTTAGATTGGCCAGCAGCTTTGTCGGTTGCACCAGCACTGGTCATCCTGGCGCTTCACTCCCTCTTACTTCTGGCTCTTAGTGTATTTTTCTTCTCAGGCCTACATCATATACTGGGCAGGACACTGGAGCCTAACTGCAGGGGTCTCCAATACCATGGTTGTAGTGATTGAGGTATGCCCCTGGCCCTTTTTATTTTGGTACAGAGTCTCGTTATGTAGTCAAAACTGGCCTCAAACTTTTAGTTTCACTGCCTCAGTCTCTGAAGGGCTAGAACTACAGGCCTCAGCCACCACACATAGTTACCTAAATTTTTCAAGTCTGCATTACTGAAGTTCCTAGTCCACCTGGGAATGATTCCATTAGGGGACACAATGATTTTACTGACTTGAAGAGTGAGACTGACACCAGGCCACTTCGAGCTCTTCGTGCCACTGAGTCAGCAGGCATAGAGGATTGATTAATCTACTGATAGGTGTGACTGATTCCAAACACTACAGTGTGATGGTTACAAATAGGAAGTCAGGTTACATATACACAATAGGGGCATCAATTCCATCCAGAACCCAGGAGGGTTCCTGGGGCTTTTTTCTATACTTTCAAGTCAGTTATAAAATAAGCGGAAACAACAGCAAACTATAAAAAGGCAGGATAACTGAGGACTGAGCCCTCCTAGGAATTATGGTTTGAGGCATTACAGAAAGTAAAGAAAGTAGAGAAGCCTCAGTTCTTTCAGAAGAAGACTATGAAGTAGATGGAGAACTCAGCCCCACACATCATGACTGATTTAGTTAGCGACTTCATGACAGATCTTAGAAATGTTAACTATAGTAGCTTTAAAGATTTTTTTTACTCTGCTGATTAAAACTGTGAGCATATTTGCATGGTTTCTTTAATTTTTCCATTTTTATTTTATTTCCAAGTTGTTGAAGTTAATTTTACATTTTAGTCTTTAGGTAGAAAACTGTTCCGAGAAACCCAAATGTAATTGAGGAGAAATGATAACCAGTAATGCGCACGACTATGGGAATGAATCTTCTTGCTTGGGAAAAGGGTGGGATCTTCTTCATTTGTAAGGAGAGCTGTATTTTGTTCAGTAGAAGCAAAGACCCATTTTTTTTTCAGCTTTAATTGAGTTTATTGGTACATTTTAGGGAGACAGTACAGTTACATTCATTGTTGGGATCTTGTACCTCTACATGACAAGTCTTGATTCTCATTTTTTCACCTTACCCCTGCCCTCCCTTCACCCCCTCCTGCCCCCGATCTACAAACACTTTATTTTCATTATCTCACATTTTTTTCTTTTCCCTTATTACCCTTCCCCTACCCATCCCATCTTCCCTATACCTTTAGCTCCTTTCTTCCCATTTCTAAATGTCAGTAATCTTATTAGGATCTTATGTATTATTGCAGGTTATTCACACCAGGGAAACTATTCAGTATTTACACATGTGTGACTTATTGACTTATTTATTTCACTTAGGAGTAGATCTTCAATATGTATCCATTTTCCTATGAAAGAATCTATTTTCTCGTTCTTTATGGCTGAGTAATATTCCATTTTATAGAAAAACCACATCTTCTTTATCCAGTTTTGAACGGATGGGCAAATGGGCTGTTTTCAAGATTTAGCTATTACAAAATGTGCCACTATAAACAAGGGTGCGCATACTTCTCTGTGATATGATTCTTTTAGTTCTCTTGGAAAGATACCCAGCAGAGGGATGGCTGGGTCAAATGGAACCTCCAGTCCAAGCTCTTTGAGGTATCTCCATATTGATTTCCATAGTGGTTGCACCAGTCTGCACTCCCACCAACAATGGAGAAGGGTTCCTTTCTCCCCACAACCCCGTCAGCATTTGTTATTGTGTGATTTCTTGATAGCAGCCATTCTTTGTGGGATGAGGTAGAATCTCAGTGCTGTTTTCATCTGCAGACCCAATTTTTTTTACAGGAGTTTAAATGTGTGTGGAGGTGCACACATTAGAAACCGAGTAGCCAATGGAGTGAATGCTGACATTTAATTCAATCTGTTATTTCCCACTTCAAATTTATCCTTCGATATCTGCCATGCAATAATGGCCTGAAATCTTTCAGTGTTTGCTTTTGTTTTATGAACATGATGTGTATCAGTTTTGTGAACAGAGGATCCTGGAAGGACACTGCAGGAAGGAGGGGCTTCCGTTCCTGATACTGGTGTGCTGTGGTGTCCTTTTTGTCCCTATTGTGTGGTCTCAATGTTTTATATGGTGGTGGGGAGAACCAGGGGCACTTTGCCCCACCACAGGCTCAGCGCATTCAGTCCCTGGGCAACCTCACAGCCTTGGACATGGGCACTGGCCTCTCGAGACACTGTGCACTCCATGGTGCCCTGACCCCTCTGCACATCTCTCACCAGACCAGCTTGCCTGTGCCCCAGAAGGTTGCTTCCTGCTACCAGGAAATGTGGGCAGCTCTGTCCCACGCAACCAATCAAAACCCAACCCCATCCAGTGGTCTGTAATTACCCCTTCTTCAATAAAGGTCTGACTCCAAGGCTTGAGAAGAGGTTCCCCTTGTTTGACTTCGAGGTCTTCCAATGTTCTTATAGCTAGTCTTGTATTGTAGTTTGGCAATTCTTTATGTTTAATATCTATATTTAAATTACTTTGTGATTTCTCTCTCCTGATTGATTGCAGTATAGGGCTATAATTAATAAACCTGCTGACTTTTATTCACAGAAAAGGCCATGTGTGGACATATGTCTTCCATTTCTTTGGGTAATTATGTAGAAGTGTAATTGGTAAAATATTGTAAATGTGTGTTGGTCTTCTAAGAAGTTGTCCAATTATTTTCCCGAGTGGCCGTCCTACTTTACACTCCCCGTAAGAATGTGTGAGCATCCACAGGGCTCTGCATCTTCTCTCACACTTAGAATTGCCAGTGTTTTCAAAACTTGGCCATTTCTGTGTGCAGCAATTTCTCACTGTAGTTTGAAATTCAATTTCCCTGATATTGGTCTTTCATCTTTCAACATACTTGCTTGCTATACATTTAGAGTATTTTCTTCTGCCAAATGTCTATTTAAAATTTTTGGTTGCAGGATTTAGAAAAACTGTTTATGTATTCTGAACTTACTTTATGGCACAGACACAGACAGACAGACACACGCATGCACACATGCACACGGTCAGCTCTCTGTATGTATGGGTTCCCATCCACCGATTCAACAAACTACAGATCAC